GTGCGTCTTATACACCGAAAAATACGGTATCTTTTTTATATGAAGAATATGTTATTCAGTGTTTGCCCCAAAATGGTATTATTGTAGTCTTTTATATTTAGATATAGATTGGTTACAGAAAATTTCTATTGCATCAGTATATTTTGTAATAAATCTCTTCTAACCTTTGATAGTTAAAAATTCAAAATAATAACTTTAAAGTGTCATTCAAATTCAAAGCACCTCCGTGTTCTTCGTGGAGTTGGTCAGGTTTGTAACTCGGAAACTGACGAACCAATCACCATGCGACAACACAGAGCAAGCGGAAGTTATTTGAGCCATGAGGTTTAGCCACGTTTGCTGATAGAAGAAAGTACATTAGTATAAAGGCTAGACCTTCGGTAGACGCATGTGCTTGTGTGGCGGAGTTGGTTGTAAGGTTACTGACAAACAACAGCACTGTCGTTAATTCCGTTAGGCCATATAATATTTTTACGATGAAACTACTTTTGCTGTTAGTTTGTTTAGCAGCTTTTGCTTCAGCTAGTGATGTCTTAGATTATTCGGGTCCAGATTTTGAAGATTTAGTAAAAGAACATGATATAATTCTCGTAGAATTTTTTGCACCATGGTGAGTGACAATTAACATTGCAAATTTTAATTAAGCTTACCCAAATTATAACTTCATAAATATAATAATAATGTTACTACTAGTATTTCTATGAACAATGTAGCTATTTATCAAATCACGTTATTATTAGATTCATTGTTGAATATACTTTTATCTTTAAAGTTTGACTGTAATTTCTAAACAATTCAAGCGTCAAAGACATTTGAATTGAAATTGAAGTGTCTATTAAAAATTTTAATTTAAAACATTTTACCTAAGTAGTGATATTAGTATTAGCTAGTGCTGCCTTATTAGTACTATTTTTTGCATTTTCATAATACTAATAGCAGTTAGTAGTACATATGACAGATCACATTCGTAGCGTATCTAATATTAATAATTAACAATAATACTAACGTCTAAAGCTTTAGTAAGGTTGAGAACTTGTGCTTTTATTTAACTATTAGTGTTACTAGTAGTATTGAGTACTAGAGTGTAAAGATTCTCAAGCACTTCATTGGACAATCTTATCATTCGGTGTATGAGAATGTATGATAAATCTGATTACTAATAGTAATACTATATTGCTGTATGTCGGTTACATGTACATGTGTACCAATTTTTTATGAATTATTGTATTATATCATAAATAACTATGTACACTTTATTTATAAGTTGTATGTATATAAATTAATTATTATGTATATTCACAATATTCCATTTAAACTTTTAGTTCTAATAAACTGGGTTATCATATAATTATAAAATAGATATGTGTAAGAGGTTCACACATTTTTTAAGAGTAAGCAAAATATTTAAAATATAAATTTCAAGTAATTCACTAGAGTATAACTAAATGAATGATTTTTGTCCAAAAGTATCACATGGTGTGTAAAGGTCATTGTGCCATCTGCATGTGGGGGGGAGAGAATGCAAGAATGAGCAAAGTGGCAGAAGCCAGTCAGTCATAACTTCACCCCTCCAATCACTATACAAGTTACAACCAAGGTATCACAAACAAATGGCAACCCTTTGCATCCATTACTGACTGAGCAGAAGTTTGACAAATTCAAATTGCAATACCTACTACATTGTCATACAATATTTTCCAAAAGTCTATAACGTGAGAAATAAATGTTTCTAAAGAACAAAGCTGGATTTCAACATCCAAAAATTAAACTTGTTACTCCTAATATTAGAGTTGGTACCTTTAATTTTACATGCTTATATTAAGGGGCATGGCTTTAAAATTGTATGATACTGAGGCTACAAGATCTGTCTGAGGAACAAAGTTTTATTATCATATATTGGCCATTGGAAGGATTTTTTTTCTTATAGCATTTTATTGCTACAGTAAAAAAGACACTACAGGTTGATTCTAGGGACCCATTCAAGTTCCTAATAATTCTGAACTGTGAAAGACTAGCGTGGACACTAAAACTTAAATGCATTCTATAACCCTCCCCCCCAAACCAAAAATATATGCATCTCTCAAACTTTCATTGAGATAGTTACAAACATTTAAATCAATGCGATATTAGTACATTGCTCTTTATGTACAAAAAGAGATATTAGATGCAAAATGTAGTACATACCATTCTTAACCCAATTGAGCTACAATTAGCATTATATTGATTGCATTCACTGTTACAATACAAAAGAAAGTAACAGTTCTACAATTTTGGGTGTTTTGTGGGATAAGGAGTAGGCAAGTGGATTTTTAAGAAGGATGAGGTAGATTTTTTTTTTGTTAATTTCCAAAAATTCCACACCCATGGAAACTGCTGTGATGTACATAGTGTTTTTGCTTCTGTAGAAACAATTGTATTATACCAAACATTTCCAAATCTCTTGCCTGTCTTTTACATTCAGACAAGTTTGTCTTTGAAGTTCATTTTAGATATTAAAATTGAACTTCATTAGAGATTGGTTAGACCGCAAGGTAGGTAGATGTCATTTGCTAAAGGTGATACTTTTTTGTACTGATTGTTAGATTACTGCTGTTTAAGCCTATTTCTCAAACTAAACTATTTCTATTTGTGAAACAGAAAAAAGCATACAAATAAATTTTGAGATGTTACGAACTTGTTATTAACATTTAGTCTTAGAATAATGCTCATTTTCTTTCTATGTTTAATAAAATACTAGCTTATTTTTAGATAAAGTAAATTATCACTGGTAGAACTTTTACTTTCTGAAACAGTGTGAAGTTATTCCATCTCTATATCTAGCTTCTCTCTATGTTGTAAAATCTTGAGCTTTATCGTATTTGGAAGTCTTGTGGTAGCATGTCTAAGTTGCTTAGTCCCTTATGACTTTTGGGGGGACTTGGACAGCTCCTGAATCTTTGGTCTTTATTGGCTGGGACCCAGGAACAGTTAAGTTTCAGTTGCCCTTCTGATCCTTGTGGTATTGAGAATATTGGATTTAGATTTGCAGTTGTCACACACTAGAGTACTAATAAACCCAACATGATTACCCCTATCCTATTGCCAGGGGTATTGTTTTCACTCCTATGTGTTTTGAAAGTACATATAACTGTTTTTACCTGATTTTGATCAAATTTTGTACAAAAATTAAGTTTCTCGCTAGTTAATTAGCTTTTGGTGAAGGTACGTCGCAGATAAAGGTCATGCTAAAGGTTGACCACTTTCTCTATCTATAATATATATCATATATAATCAAATTAAAGTTTTGAAAAACAATAAAAACATAAATTCAGATTTAAATGACTTACCTAAAATATTAAGAACAATTATATTTCCAACTTAAACTAGTTCATACCATAACAATTACTGTTCATGCAATTGATGATATATATAGTGCTTAGACCATTACCATGTCATATCCCAGTTAGCCTGATGAACCCTGGTATTGGGTAAAAGGCCTTATTGGCACTGGATATGGCAGATATAGCATGGTTGACAGACTGCATGTTTTGTTTTTCTTTCACTCCAATTCATAGAATTGTATTAAGTGGAAGGAAATTCATTTGAGTTATCATAATTTGGATAACATATTTAATATAGATAGGAACCTGCTCATTGGTGGATAACATATTTAATATAGATAGGAACCTGCTCATTGGTGTGAGTGTGGGGGGGGGGAGAGTTTTGATATAATGGTGGATAAGCTGCGCAAACCATACAAGCAGTGTTCTGTTGTTAGTAGTAAAGCTTACAATTTTATGGTGTATTGATAGACCTATTGATTACAAGCCAACAGATAAGTATTTCTATACAAATTGCTAGTTAAGCCTAATAAAGAATACTGTATACAGTTTTGACTTGTTGGAAAGGTTTCAGAAAATTGTTGTCAGGATAATTCTGGAATGAAAGGGTTATCTTACAGGCAGTGCAAGATTTCTTAACTTAATTTACATGCTTACTTGGAGGCTCAATAGGATAAAGAACTCTTATTTTATTGTACTGTATTCTAAAGATGGGAGGATAAGGCTCAAGTTTATGGTTTAGAAAAGAAGGTAAAATTTCTGTTAAGACATTTTTTATTTTTTAATAGGGTTCCCAAGTCTATGAAGAACACAGGCATGCACGTGTGTGTTTGTGTGTGTGAATATATATGTATGTATATAATAAGTTCCAATCAGAGTGAGCTTTGTAGTTGGAGGAAAATTAAAATAACTTGGGTTAATCCTAAATATAACAGAAGTACAATAATGAATGGTAAGTTAAAATAAACAAAGTAATTATATTTGATATTTATGAAAGAAACAAAATAACATACCTTGCTTAGGGAACTTGCAAATGTTAGTTCCTGTCTTGAACCATAATTTTTTTTTTTATATACATTTCTTTGGAAACCTGCTATTTAACATTGCACTTTACCAAAGAAACCTGGTACAGCATCCCTAATGATTAATGCTCTGAAAATTGTCGTATGTTTTAGTCTGTTAAATTGTATGCATGAGCTCTTCTACAAAAAGTAACTCTTGTTAGAGAAGATACAAAACAATAAACAACACTTGTTCAACAAGAATATTGTTGAATGTTTCCACAGAATTTAATTTTGTAGGTTTTGCATTGAGAAACTGATTATGAAAAATATGAGTGAGTGAGCTTGAGCTCTATCAACAATTTTGTAATGATGAACAAATTCTGTTGTATCTTAAAAGGCTGAGAGTATTAAACATTTTAACATAACTTATTAGGAATATTTGTAAATGGAAAGTTAAATTATTGATGGTGATAGTTAAATCTAGGTATCTTGATTTCTTTGTAGTGGAAGAGGGTTTTTTTTCTAGAGCTCTGGTAGCTTTAATACAGTATCCCAGTAAGGTTTGTAATCAACAAAAATTCTAGTTCTAATAAATACAGATATGTAACTTGGAGGGTAAACTTGTTTCCCATTAGAATTGTCTGTATCTGTTTGAAGATATGATGGCCGAATTGTACAAATGGACTGCAAGAATTTATTTAATGTGGAACAGTGGTAATTTTTTTTGTAAGTGACATTGTCATAGAATGTTATTCTGTTTACTGATGCAGAGAAGTAATTTGCCTGAATTATTAGATGACCATGAAGTAGTTGATGAATGACTAATTTTATCAAAAGGACAATTAGTGTAGAGATTACAGAAATCAAATGTTTTTATTGCTATAGCTTCAAAGTCTAATTTCTTCTTTACATTCAATGAAATTATTGATAATTATGCACCAATTAATACCCATTCTGTCTTTGATAACATTGCAGTATCTCTTAAATGAATTTCAGACTTGCCTATCACAATTAACAATTCTTTAGTTGTAGCATTTTAAGCTGGTATTAAACCTGTATTTATATGGTGTTTTATGTAATTTGTATAACTTGCCTGAAATGTGTACTAAAGTCTGATAAAACTGAAATATGTTAAAATACTTTCTATATCAGTTTTAACATGTTTATAAACTGTTACATGAAGGCTTTAATGTATTCAAATAAAACCTTAGTTCATTACATAGGTATAGTATAAACCTTTTTACAAATGGAAACAAAGTTGTTAGCTGATTTATCTATGGAAGTGATGACTCATCTAATATGTAATGTAATTAATTGGTAAGTTCTTATTCACTCGTGGCATGTTCATTGTCAGTAATGAATTTTTTAAGCATGTTGTTTATTATGTTTTAACTTTACACAATTTATGTAAAACTGTACTGAGTGATGTGATAATCAATTTTTTGCGAGTTTCCTGAAATTTTGGACCTTTATTCATTAGCAGTCATGAATCTTCATTAATCACAATATCGGGGTTACCTGTGAGCAGATGATTGAGAGAATGAATGTAAAAAGGATGAACTACATTTGCATTGACAGGATAAAATTTGTATAAATCTTTATTGGTTGTTATCTAACACTTTGTTATAATAAAATAGCTAATAATTGGGTATTTAATTTTGTAAGTAATAAGTAATTCTCTGAATAAAAGTCTCTGACTGTATAGTCTAATTTCTGTACTACTGTGACTAAATGGAATTGTAAGATAAACCTTATCCTTGCATTCATTAGTGGTTGTTTTCGGCTTAAAGTGATGACATAATAATAGCTAGACTACACTGTTCATCATACTTGGACACCTATATTTATGTTCCATTTAATAAAGGTAAGTTAATGAACAGAACCATTGCAAGGAAGCATACAAACCTCTTGGACTTTTTTTTTTTTACATGCATGCATGGTTGAGTACATTATATTACAACAATTTTGAATATACAAACCAGTAAGTTGTGTAACAAATACAGCCAATATAAGGTCAGTGGAATGGTGTACATCAGAGCTAGATTTTGACATAGTTTGATATTTGACAGTTAGAGGGATACCCTAAAATCTTACTTTGGAAATTACATAACAGCTCTGAGATCATGAAGATGTGTTCAAATTGGAGATTTAGAATTTCTATGACTGGGATATCCTTTGTACTTAATGGAATTAGATAGCAAAGGAATATGGATGAACTTGGCCAACTAGAACAACCTACAAGAAAGACTTGGAACAAGTCATACCCTAGTCATTGTAAGCAAAGTGTGGCATCTAGTAACAAATGTGTGTGTGTGTGTATATATATTCCATATGAAACCATACCAGTCAAATTGCCAGATGCATATCCTATGGATTTCTGTGATAACTGTTGAAATGTGCACTATGAACTACTGTTCTTGTACACTAGATAACATGATTTATGGAAAATGTGCAGGAGTTAGGAGTATGCTTTGAACATGATAGACATGGTGTCATACTGTAACTATGTGGTTGATATAATGTACTCAGCCTCTTATATAATTATATAATCGTTTTAGAGAAGGTCTTAAAGGTGCAATAAATAGAAAAATGTGAACGAAGGTTTAAAGTAGTTGCTGCTTTTTTAAGATTTTTCATTTATTTTTATTTTTTTTCCAGGTGTGGTCACTGTAAGAAACTTGCTCCAGAGTATGAAAGTGCAGCAACAACTTTGAAAAACAATGATCCTCCAGTGTCACTTGCTAAAGTAAGATAATATACAAACTCTTACAATTTACTAGTAACTTCATTTTTAAATGTTGTCCTTGAAATAAGTTGTTCTAAACAAACATAGATGGTCAGATCTTGGTAAAGAAATGGAAATGTATGGTAATATTCCAAAACCTTGCTACTTTGTCTTTACAACAGTTATTTTAGTTTTCTCTTGTTCTGGCACAAGCATCATCAGTGTATGAGTAGCTCTGAGATGCCTACTCTATTTTTCATATGTCCGTATGCACACTTACTATTGGCCAGAAATCCTACTTTATCTTGGGCTGCTATTTTACTATGTCTGATAGCCTATTTTTGATTGCTTTTACTGCATCTGTCCATGTTTCACTGCTCGTTTTTCTAATTATAAAACATTGTGAAAGAGGGAGCTACTTGCAGGGCTTCAGGAAAGTTTAACATGCATGTACCAAAATACTTAACTGAGAGAGTGTTTTTGTTTCTTTTAAATAAATGGCAGTCCTTGTAAAATAGTGTTACCTAATAGAAAGGAAGATGATTATCTCCAATTTCACACAAAATGTTGCAATTGTTAAATCATTGACTGCTGATTCACTGTATAGGGTATGGTCTGCTTCCAGCAGTTGAATGCAAATGTGCCATATACAGTGTACAGCTTACAAAAAACGTGTTTAGATCAGCTGCAGTCAACGGGTTAATGCTCTATTGCTCCTAGGTCAAAGGAATATATCTTAAGCTTCTTATGTCTGTTCCCCCTTTTTTTTCTTTCTAAAAGCCAGGTGTGAATTTACTTTATATTCAATTACGGTATTAAAAAAAGTGAAATGCAACACCTTTATAATACTGTTTGTAATATTGTTGCTGTTCATTAGTGGAATCTATTTTTAACACATTGTACTCGGTTTAGAAAACCTCAGCATGAAGACAGTGCAGTAAACCAAAATTCTCTATAAGTGTCTTGTTTGTGTGTGTGTTATATAATTCATGTTACAGATGTTAAAATAAAGCTTGTTTTTATTTAATAAGAAGCAGAAATTAGGAAGTAAAGTCAGAGTAAACAAACTGGCAGAAAGGGAGTGAGTGTTTCATGTATAACATCAAATGTTTATTTGGGACCATTGAATTGTGAGTGACATTGTAATTGAGGAAAGCCTTAAATTTTGAAATCTAACATGCATGTGTTCGCTATACTTGAAGGGCACTCACTCTTCCAGACAAAGTTAGAGTAAAAATAATTATTCAAACTATTTCAACAATTCTCCTACTTGGAAATCTTTTAGAATTGGTAGCTTGTCAATTAGTTAACATTAGCTTTTATTAGGTGTCTGGTAACTTTGGAATTCTTAACACATCACAAGCAGAAATATGCTGTTTAGTTTGAAAAATTAACTTACTTCAACTAACAAGTGTTTTTAACTAATTAATATTGTAATAGTCAAAAATACATAATTTCAAACAAGAAAAATTGGGTAATGTTTAGGCTAATGCTGATCATACTTCGTTAAAATGGGCAACATGATCCATGGTATGAATTGTACCCCCCCCCCCTATCATTCACTTTTTAAGTGTTTAGTCTCCTCTCTCTCTATTTATAAATGTCATTTAGAACTTTGGAACTTCCATGCTAGTATTTCCTCTCGTACTTTGTTTTCATGTTATATTGAACCCTTTTTTATAGGTTGATTGTACTTCGGACAATGGGAAGGAAACGTGCAGTAAATATGGAGTCAGTGGGTATCCTACTCTGAAAATATTCAGACAAGGAGAATTTTCGGCAGAATATTCTGGACCTCGACAAGCAGGTTTTGTGTACATCATAATTTTATTTTAAAACTGAATTAGTTTGGGAGAGGAATTTTCTAATGATATGAAAATATATTTAATTTTCTATATTAATAAAGAAAAAAAGATGAGTATATATGTTTATTGTAAACTATCGTGTATTTTATATACTGTTTAATTTTGAAAAAAATAATTTACTTCAAGTAACAAATGTTTCAGAATAATTAATATTGTAATTGTCAAAATACATAATTTTGAACATAAGAAAAATCTGGAAATGTTTAGGCTAATACTGATCATACTTAGTTAAAATGTGCAACATGTTCCATGATCTACCTGTTAATCCTCTTGTAATTACCTTCTTATCAAGAAATAATGTACTAAGTTACATTAGATTTATTAGGTGTCTAGTGACTTTAGAATTTCAAACACATCACAGGAAGAAATAAGCCTTAAATGTTAATTTGTAAAGTAAAGAAATTATTTTATTGGAATTTCTATAATACTTGTGTTAATTTTTAACTTGCATATTGTGATTTTTTTTTTAAAGATAATACAGTTAAACATCTGTTTAATTATTAAATCCTGAAAATATTTTTTATTTTTTTTATTAGTCAAAACAGAATTTCTATTTTTCCAGATGGCATAATAAAATACATGAAAACCCAAGTTGGTCCAAGTTCCAAAGAAGTAAGCACAGTAGCTGAAGCTGAAAAACTCTTAACAAAAGATGAAGTAGTTATTTTTGGTAATTCTTTTTTGGGACTTTTATTGATTAAGGTGATAAAATCAGAAACCAAAAATTATCAGAAAAAAATAGCTAAATGTTCTTTTTGTTTTTTTGTAGTTAAAGAAAATGCTGCTTTGCTAAATTAACCATTTAGTTTTTATTTTTGTTGTTGTTGAGAATTCATCTTTCTGGGTGTTACAGCTTTTTTCAAATCAAGAGATGGTGTTTGTAATTTGTCATTCAAATAATAGAACATTGTTGTGAAGTCACTACTTGATAACATTGTTAATGCATGGCTAGAATTGCCCTTGATACATTCATAGTGGTAGACCCATACAGCAGTATGTACGCAGGTGATATTTGTAGTATACATATGTAAAGATTCTGTATTACTCTCATTTCTAGATAATATTGCAGTAATTGATCATTCAGTTGACACCTACAAGTATCGGTGCCCCTGTATACATGGAACTATCTACTACACATTTAAAATGTACGGTATTAAACCAAATAAATTCTGTTAAACATGCAGTTTTTGCTCATGATTCAATACACTGTATTTCAATGAGGAACAAAACTAAGCACTTGAGTATCTTGGTTTATACTAATGCCTTAATTTCCTGTAATTTGCAGGGTTTTTCAAAGATGATGACAAATTGAAACAGACATTCCAGAAAGTGGCAGACAAGCAAAGAGAAGATTATACTTTTGGTCACAGTTCAACTGAGGAAGTTCTCAATAAATATGGATATAAAGAGTATGTAATTTTATGTAATATGGATGTTTGAATGTAGGTGCTTCATTCCAATGATACGAGTCATGGCTCTTGCAAAAAGGTGGATGTTATTTAGGTTTTAAAATGACATAAAATGGTTTCAACGATTATTGGTCATTTTCATCATATATTATCTGTTGTACACAGTAATAAAACAATCATAGGTGCTTACCAGATTTTAATAGTATAGCAGAATATAAGATAATGCAGTTTCTGGCTGAGGTAGAATTTAGTAACTAGAGAATTTCAATCTTAAGTTATAAGACTGTTGAAATATTTAGTTATTATACAAGAATAAGTTTTTTCCATATAATTACTTGAGTTTTGTAGAAAATTGATGTATTTAGTACCTTGTGCTTAGAAGGAAAAGCACCCCTAACAGTGAATTTGGTTTCTTGAGTTTTGTAGAAAATTGATGTATTTAGTACCTTGTGCTTAGAAGGAAAAGCACCCCTAACAGTGAATTTGGTTTCTGGTACCAACTCTTGTTTACAAACTTCTAAATAATTAAATGTAAGTTCTTGAGAGAAGAGGGAGAGCAAATTACAGCCATAATACAAATATCCAACACCAGGGCACAATTCATAAGGTCAGTCATCATGTAGTGTGACATCTGGCTGTAGACAGCAGAAGATGGTAAAAGTGTGGGATGTTGTGGGTTAGAACATCCACATCTGCTCAATTAAAAAAAAAATTCTCGTAATTATATAAGGCTGGTGAAGTTGAGGTCAAACTGGATAGACAATGTACCCCCAATGCAACTTGGGTCTTACTTCCACCAGTACCTCTAAAAACCAGGGCACATTACATGGTGACCCATCTTATGAGTTGTGCCCCGATGTTGGATATTTGTATTGTGGCTGTTTTTTCTCGTGAATTTACATTTAATTGTATTTAAGGTTTGGATATGCTGCATAAGATTTATGCTATCCTCACTTATGATGTATTCTCTTTAGCTTTTCTAAAAAAGTGGATCTATGGTCACAAATGATGAGGTACTAAGATAGAACTTTCTGGTTGAATTGCAGAGCTTTTGATGGGAAGATAATCTCAATGTAGACTGTTTGCTCACAATAGCTGACATTAAAATAGATGATAAAATAAATACATCTTGCATCAAGGTTTTGACCATTTTTTAGTCGTTTAGTTTATTTCTTACAGGAGCTGTCACTAATGTATATTAAACTATGAGGCTTATCTCCCAGTTGATTTTTACAGCAAATAGAATATATATGTATGGAATTGCTGTTGCATGAAGTGAAATGTCTTGATAATACAGATAGTAATAATTTTTTTATAAGAATTTCAAAATGAAATGAAATATCAGGATTAAAATAGTGTATTTACAGCTTTGAAACGTGCAGTAAAAAACTTGAATATATGAATATAATTTTTTCCTTCTATTTGTGTAATATTAATATATGCTATTATTAATGTATACAAATATATTAAAACTGGCTTGGTGATAAGATAGATTTAAATTAAGGTTTTCTTTCTTTCTGTAAAGTCAAATAGTTCTATTTCGACCAAAGAAGTTCCAAAGCAAGTTTGAAGAAAAAGCCTTGAAATATGATGGCCCTTCAGAAAGCTATAAACTAGAAAAGTTCATCAGAGATAACTAGTAAGTATAGCTCATTTGTGTCTTTGAAGAAATATGGTACTATACTAAACAGTTTTTTTTTAATTTAATGCTTTTTTTTGTAAACGCATTTAAAGTACTCAATTTTAAGCATTAGCTAACCGAATAAATTGTAATTTGACATTAACATATGAGATCTACCTATTTCTGTTAATATCTTAATTATAAACTTCTAGCAGTCTAAGGTTTTATGTAGTAGCATCATAACTTATTTAATTGAAATATTCAACTACTGTTAAAGGATGTTAAATGAACGTTTCATATAACACTTAGATTTATTTTAGGAACCAACTTTTCTCACCTTATGCATTTTACATCGTTCTGAAGCTTTATGCATTCTTTATGGGTACAACTAAAATTTCTGTAGATACATGTATAGTGACCTCAATTTGTTCACTTTTGTTGTAAAAAAAACTCATAGTTGTGATATGGAAATTCTCACAAACCTAAACTACTTCTTTGTACAAAACACATCTTATAAAAACAAATATATATATATATAAATAATAATAATAAATACTTAATTTTACTCCTACTGATAATTCACCTTCACTCAAGTTTTTAATAATGTTTTTACTCTACTATAAATGGCTTAAATATATTTTTAATTTATTGGTGTATTTTTAAATGGAAGTAACTAAAATAAGTTTTTCAGCTTAACCTAACAACTTCAGTGAAATATCTTGCAAAGTTTTGCAAGTGCAGTGTGAAACATAACACTCAGATTGTGTGCTGTTTATATTAGCTCCAATGTAAACAGCCAATGGGCTCCCTCTGAATTGTTCCTTTTGATACAAGGGTTACTGATCCAGAGGGTACAAGTTAGTTATAATTCCATAAAATTAAAAGAACAGATGTGAAAAGGTTAATAGTTTAAACTGTTAAAGAAAAGCAATATGAAACTTTCTGATCAATACTACAGTCAGTATGGAGGAAGAAATTCTATTAATTTTATATATTTAAACTTTTTACCGTACATTAATCTTTCTACAGTTAGTGCAGAGGAAATGGTAGAATATAAAGTTTTACTAAAACAAGACTGATATTCAGTTAGGAGGTTTCAGAGTGCAAATTAAATGCAAAACTGTAAGATAGAGGTATTTTCTATTCTTAACTTGAAAATCATCTTTTACTTAGTGATTCAGTAAAGACTTTGGAAACTTGGCAAATCTTTAGTACAAATACTTTACTAGAAACTTTTTATGTGCAACAGACTTGCCAAATTTTTCAAAAATGCATGTAGTAAACTTAGTTATTGTATGTATAGTGTTAGTTTCATGTGGGTTAAGTCAACTTTGTTCTGATATGATTAATGGTGTCCAGTCAAACAGGACCCTTTGTTACTGGAGTGGAGTGTCTTGGGTCAGTACTTGGGCCTTTCCTTTTTCTTATTTAAATTAATAATATTGATAGTGGCATAATTATAAAAGTTTGAAGATAACAAAGCCTTTGGTATTTTTGACTGTACTTCGTATGGATTAGTGGTAACTTTATGGACTTGTAATGCAAAAAAACTGGAGTTTGTTTTAGTGCAAAGCCACATTTGGCTATCTGCCATGTCCACCACAGGGAATCAAATTCAACATTAGTGTGAGAAAAGAAAAGGATCTTGGGATAGTGGTGGATATTAAGTTTGGTATCAAATTGTAGATTATAATTCAAATTTTAGTATGATCCATTAGTTAATTTCTTAATTTAAGAGTAAATATTAAAAAAAAAAACTAAATATCTATTTTTGTGTGTTACATGGTATGTTGAATGCAGCATTAGTTTAAATTACATGTTTGATATCCAAATACAAAGTCTATAGTTTCTTTATGAATTAGGATCTCAAATTACTGATGGTGATAAGCTACAATCTAAAATAAGAACCTCCTGGTTTTCCTATTTGCTGAGATTTCACTACATTTAATGAAACAAACACAGTGACCTGCCCATCTCTTTCCATTTTTGAAAACTTCCGTGTCTGACATGTGAATAACCAATTTAAAGCTCGGAATGTTCTCCTAGTGGCTTTCTCAGCCATTTTGGAGTATTAAGCTGTCAATCTCAAGAGTTCAAGCTGGTAAAGTAACCCTTTAGTCAGCTCAATTTTATATTTTTTAGACCCAAGTACAGTCACATTTTGGTTCTGATACACCATTACTGTATAAAGTAAGTTCTTAAATTTCAGTTATTTTTCTTAAAACATAAAACAGTACATAAAGAATTACAGGAAATATTTCTCTTCTACTTGTGAACTATGAGCTTGTATATACTTGTATATTTGTTGAAACTGTGCAGGTAACCAAATCTGTTTTCTTTGACCTGTAGCCATGGACTTGCTGGCCATAGAACACAAGGCAATATGCAGCAATTCAAATCTCCACTAGTTGTTGCTTACTTTAAAGTTGATTACGTAAAGAACATTAAAGGTTAGTTTAACTTGCTAGAAGTTTGACTCTGTAACGTAATTTAATATATTTGTGTATGTGATCACATTAATCATCTCTACATTATAATAAAAAAGTTACTTAATATGTAAAATAAAACTTGTTGTACCAGTAGAAAATATCAAAGTGAAGTGCCACAATGAGTACAATAACAAGTTGGTTTCATGTTTGTTTTAAGCAGTTCTTTGTATTGAACAACTTGTTTCTAGGTTTTAAAAACAGTTTTGAAGAAAATGATAGGTATGTTCAGTTCAGTCACTAAGATATTTGTGTTTGTGCTTACTTAATCCTCTTGTAGATCTACATAGTATTACATAATCTTCTTGATAGTATTGAAACTATGTATAGGAGGTGTAAGTTAGCTGACCAGAAAGTTGATCCTAGGTTGTGAATCATGTTGCAAAGATATTTGCCACTTTTGAGTATTTTAATAGTATTAAGTTGTAGTTTGAACAAAACACTGTAAAATGATCTAATACATTTTAACAATTAAAAAAATTTGTTAGTTAGTGTTGTGCTATAGTACATAAGAGGTAAATAACTTTAAGATTGTGTGTGTGTGTGTGTGTGTCAGAGAGAGCATGTACAAATATGAAAAATTTAGTGTTGCTTATTGTAAGATATGCATATAATTGTGATTTCATTTTATTTGTAAAAGGAACAAATTATTGGCGTAACCGAATCATGAAGGTGGCTGAGAAGTTTAAGGACAAGTTGAACTTTGCTGTGAGTGACAAGGATGAATTTGGCAGTGAGATGGATGAGTTTGGTCTTACTGCCAAGGATGATAAGCCAGCATTTGGAGCGAAAAATGAGCAGGGCCAAAAGTTTCGAATGGAAGATGAATATAGGTATGGTTTACAACAGATTTCATTAATTGATTAGGGTATTCAATGGTTTCTTGATAGTAAAGATAAACTGAGGCCAGTAAAGAGCTCTTATTTATCACAAACATTTCTTTTTTCTATTGTCTTTGTTAGTAGCCTTTACAATCATGCAAGTATAATTATCAGTTTCAGTTCTTCAAGGAAGTCCTTAAAAGAACTGAGGTGGCAGGGACTGGGATTCAATTCTTGGTCTCCATATTAGAAAGACTAGTCTGTTATATATTTAATTGGAATCTCTCCTATTAAGACTTAAATCAACTAATTAAATGGTTTTGAGAGGATACAGATAACACCATAGAAAACCCAGAGAAGTGGATAGTACACCAGCCTTTCTAACAAAAAGATCCGGGATTAAATCCTGGCCACCAACACGTAGCATCTCCCTGAATACTGTAGCAGGTTAGCAGCTAAAATGTAAGATGAAACTAATTAGTATCTTGCAATAAAAAAAATAACAACTATACTTGGGTTATTAATCACATCTGTGGTTGCCACAACAGTACCATAAGTACAGTTTTAATAATTGATCTTAGGTTTACATTGAGTAGTTATCAACTTCGTTACCTTCTTAATTCTTGGGGTATGCAAGATCACAAAGGCAGAAGAATTGGTTACACAAACAGTTCATTTTGAGATCATAATTTTCATCTACTTTAGTGTTGTTGGATATACTTATTTGATTTTTTATTGCACAAGCTAGAATGTTAATGTTTGTTTTGTTTCTTTGTATTTGTTTTGCAACATTTCTCCACTTCAAAATAAACTGTTATTTAAAGTATTGCAAATGGGAAAATGTGTACTTCTGTGGCACTGCATCACTTGACTAAAATTTCTTGTTTGTTCTCAATACTTGCACTTAATTTTGTCTACCAGTCAAGCACTTGTATCGTAAAGTCTTTATGCTACTTGAAAATACAAGCTATCTTGACTGGTATATTAATTTTGTAATTTGGTCTTTACCATGCTTTAGAATAACTATTTTAGCTACAACTTTTGTATATAAATTTTACAAGACTTTATGTGCATATTTATTAAAAACCTCAAATTATTAGACTAAATAAAATTATTTTCCCTGAAAAATGTAACATTAATATTATGAGAAGTAAATGTGTCATTCTTGTTTCTGATATTCATTTGTTGTAAAACTATTCTATAAATATTGTCATAGCTACACAAATGCCTCGGCAAACTTAAATGTGGAGTATGTGGGCCTCATTCAGTGATATATTTTCATAATGATACACTTATTGTTCAAAGCAGTCTTAAATTCTTAACACTTATTTCAGTTGAACTAATAGCAGTGAAAGATCATTAAACTCGCAGTATCATCCAAATACTTCAAATTTTAATGTAGCTAAGACTGAAAAATAACAATTTCAGATTCAAAAAGTGAAAAATGAGCACAGATTATTTTACTTTATATAACAGTCTTGGAATAATGCTCAATTTTTCTGAAAAGGATGCAGTTCAAAAAAACACTGCTTTCCTACTGCTACAAGTTTAGTCTGATAAGAGAAGGGGGGCTTTCCAGAACATGTGGACAGAAGAATGGCACATTTGAAAAATTTCAACATTAATTTGATTCAAACCATCACAGAAATACAATGTATAATGAGTTGTAACTGTTCAAAGATGGTTAAAAGAATTGTCTACATAAAGTTGCAGCCAAAATTCCTAATTTCAGGTACGAACATGGTCAATATTCCAACTTTTCAAAAGATCACAAAAATTGGAGGAATAAATGAGCCAAAGGTTGAACTCTTTGAGAACTAAAGGTTTGTGTGAAGATGTGACCCGAAGGAAGTTAAAGTGTAACCAAATTAATAAAACATAGCAAAGTTTAACAGTGTAGCAGTATTTTCTGCTTCAGCAGTGGGTAATACTGTCAAAATTGAAAGTGTAAACTTCCTGGTTTGACTCCAATTCATTTTTATTCCTAACACAAACATGACTGTTAATTTTGGAAAGATAATGATACAGAACATACTTTCATGCTGAATATGACATTCAGATAAAGGAAAATATTTATATAAAATTAAAAAAACAAGAACTGGCTAACCCAAACTCCTAGTGATAATCCAATTGAAAGTTTGTGGTACCAGTGTAAGAAAGTACGTACTTGATACTTTGGACTAATTTTTAGTATAATGCGTGTTAGTGTAAGTTTTAAGGCGTGTTCTGTCACTTTTATTACTTGAGTGTGATATTCTAACAACTGTCCAAATATTCCTTTCTACAATATTATCAGCAGTTCTAACATCTTTAAAAAAAAAAAAAATTGGCCTTTTTGGACTTCGAATGGCTTTGATTCAGTCAAGATCATGCAGCACTATTTGGTTAAAGAAAACTTCCTTATCTATTTGAAACAGTCATTATGTCTACTTGCACACTTGTTTATTAAAGCTTTAAAATAGTTAAGTTTATTTTGTCATCACCTTGAAAACAAACATCATTATAACAATGTTCATAAATGTTATATATTCTTATTTTTTCAGTCCAGAAAACTTGGAAAAGTTTTTACAAGACTTGGTTGATGGAAAACTTAAGCCTCACATTAAGTCGGAGCCAATTCCAGAATCAAATGATGCACCTGTAAAAGTTGCTGTTGGACAAAGCTTCAATGAAATAGTAATGAATAATGACAAAGATGTTCTGGTTGAGTTCTATGCACCATGGTGTGGCCACTGTAAGAATCTGGCTCCTATATATGATGACCTAGGAAAAAAGGTAAGATTCTCTTGTATTATGGTATCTATCATATCTGAGGTATATTGAAATAGGGAAAACATTTTGCATTCAGCAAATTTTAATAGTCCAAATAAACACTTGATGCTATAAGCTCTTGTTAAGCCTTACCTAGATGTATAATTTTATTCATCAAGCTTGTTACAGTAAATTACAGCTTCTTTAACTAGGCCTGTTGGTTTAGAACAGTATTTTAATTGTAACGTACTAGTGCATAAATTGCCTAACGTACTTAACATTTGTAGGCCATCTTGAACTTTCCCATGTACAGAACAAGTGTATCATCTAGAGGAATGAAACATCCATGTCATATGCTATTTAGTACCATCAGTGTTCGTTTCTCTACACAATATTGCTTGTCTATTGATGATAGACTTTCTACATATAACAGGTTAACAACTAAAAACAAAACTTATTCCAACACTGCAACATTGACTGTTGTGGACAAAATGTTCTGTTATTTTACAAATACAGAGTAGGACATTACAACTCTTAATTCAGAAACTAATAGCCCCAAAAGGTTGACACTCGTAGAAAAAAAAAAAAAAATCCAGAGTTGTGTTGAGACTGCAGTTTTTCCACAGATTTTCGTACCCTCCCCTATCTCAAACTTTTTAATATTTATGCCTCTTAAAACTTAGGTTTGCATAACTTTAAAGGAAATTCTCTCGACCTCTTGTTTTTGTCAGTAAGTTATACAATACTAAAAATAGTACATCTAAAACACTTTTTAATATCTAAAAGTTAAAAATAATGTTATGAGATCCTTTTGGCTGTAAAATAGAACTCTCTATTCCTTCCACTTAGTCACCTATACCTGTTGAACTTTATAACCAATCAATGAAGTATGCTCCTAAATGTACCTAACTGCTTTTACTTTTTTCAGTTTTTACTTTGGTACAAATATAACCTCAATATTAGTGAAAATGTTTGTCACCACTAATATGTTGGGTATAGTTTAATAGTAACTTCTAGTGTATTGATCAATGAATAAAGGTACACATCAGTAAAATTGCATATTTCTAACTCTTTTCAGTTGTAAGTTACATCTACAAATCTTGACATAAGTTGTTAAATTTCTTTTCTCAAAGTAGAAATCCTTCATGTAGATTATAACTAAATTAACAGTTCCCTATATTTACAGATGGAAAATGAAGATGAAGTTGAAATTGTAAAAATGGATGCTACAGCTAATGATGTTCCCCCAAACTTTGAAGTGCATGGGTAAGTTAATTCCAGAGTCCTTTTTATCTTTCTGTAACTTAGTCCTTAATTGATGTGTTGAAAGTAGATTCAGAAATTGTACGTTAGAACATTGAAGAATAAAATGAATCTTGAATCCAACCCCAACTACTTAATCAAAATGAATGATTCATGTCAATGAAGTAGTTCCAGCAACACATTTTCTCTGCTTCACAGAAGTTAATTTCTGAAAACTTAAGTTAAAGCTACAAGTCTGATTCTGTGGCTTCATCAATGATCTTTCACCGAACAACTCGTAGCATGATCCTAAAAACCATTTCTTTGTAACAATCATTAGTCTTGGTGCTTTTTTCTCAACTTTGTAAACAAGAGTTAACTGTAGGAATTAACCCTTGGCCTTTGAAAAACATCATTATGCTTAACATCCACCAGACTTAAACCTGTGGGCACGGGTGAGGGCCAACGTGTACATGAAATGACCTGTTAAGAGTACCATTCAACTGAGTAAATTAAATATGCATTTCACAGGTCCTAGAGGGAATACAGGTACAATATGCGAACTATATAATTTGCGAAAGTGTTTTTTGTTTATTCTTCACATGAACATTATCTTGCATTCCAATTTGTCAGGTTCTAAGTCACTAACATCAATTTCCAGATATAGTATAGCTGCTCTTGTAACACTTGATTGTGTACAAAAGATGTGTATATTTGACAATCTTTCCTCATCTCTAATAGATACACCTAGTAGATTTGGAATTATAATCAAACTTTTTTCAGTATAGGGTTTAGTTATTACTGACCCCATGCATATTTGGTTAATAATGCTGTTTCTCTAAACTTTAACAGAGGTGAGAAATTTCATTGCAGAAGTGAACCCTATATCTTTATTTAGGCTTTGAAGAATGCCATTATGCTTAGTATTTATCAGCTGTAATACTGCTTGTTCCATAGACTTGGACAAAAATAATTTTTGAAATAACTCCATTCTTTTGGAATAGAATAAAGGTTTAGATTTAAAGTAATTTTAACAGAGCTGTAGTGAAAGTTCTAGTATAACAACATGCTTAAATTTGTTCCTGCTAGCCTCAGAACAACTAGTTTTAACTATTTTTGAAATGCCACTCTTCTTGTGGAAGTACAAGAAAGTCATTAGTTTCAGCATTTAAATCTGTTATGAAACTATGTATGAACACTCATCTGGTGTGTAAATAAGTCACTAAATATTAACACCAACTGCATGATAAATCATGTTAAACAATTATATAGTCTGTGCATGGAGATAGATAAAATGTTAATATTCAGAAGATTGTCTAGTGATTTTCTATACATTACAAACCGGATGTTAATTATTTTTAAAGAATGTCTTCTCACGTTTACTTAGGTGTATCAGTTTTGTTTTTAAGAGACTTATTTGAAACATTTTGTTCTCTACAGGTTCCCAACATTGTACTGGGTCCCAAAAGGTAAAAAAGACAAGCCCATAAAATATGAGGTAACTATTCATTGCTACTAATGAGTGAATATTTAGTGTTTTAATGGATGCTTTCATTATGATGATGAATGGCTTATCCCTGATGTTGGTTGCTCACTGTTTTAGTGATGAATGGCTTGTCCCTGATGCTGATATCTGTGTTTCAGTGTGTTCCAGATTTTATTTCCAAAAAGCTGTAGGGGAGACTGGGCTAGTTGTTATGATTTTTAGAAAAAGTCCAGTATCTAGCGAAATAACCCAAATCATACATTGAAACTGAATAAAAGTGAAAGATAAATATGTACTTTATTAAAATTATGTATTCTATATTGAACAAAATTGGTTACATAAGATTTTGTAAATGTTTTGAAGTAAAGTAAAGTGTAACAATCTGCCCCG